AAAAGGGGTGGCAGTTCTAAGATATGAAGGGATTGTCATAGTCTTTGATTCATCTAGAATACTATAAGTATTGTAGAAGCTAGTGGTAATTAGATTAGCTCTTGTCAGATAGTATTCTCAATTGACACATCGAGTAGATAGTAGATGATGTTGATTTTGAAAGTTTTTTTTTTTCTAGTGTTAAATATGACCAATGTGGCCAATACCAATATAATCGAAACCACAGATCAGAACATAATATTCAGAGTTTGATATATTTATCATAGCTATCTATGGATGGTTGGTTATTCAAGCATTTTTTCATATCTTCATAATGACCTTGACTTCTGAAAAATAGATCTGGAAATACGAGAGCTTCTAAGTCAAGATTATTAAAAAGGATTAGAAGATTTATATTATTATTGGTTATGACAGATCTAGCGACTAAACGATTGTAATTAGCATTTTGATTATAGACTTCTCGTGGGAACAAAACATTTGGCACTACCAAGTCAAGAAAACAAGAAATTTTATTAGATAAGGTGCTTTGATAGATATCAGAAGAAAACGTATGAGTGAAGATAGATTGTATTGCTAAAGGTAATGGTATGGGTATAATACTTTCTGGTGATGGATAAGTAGTGATCAAATTAGATTGGTATTATCTAATAAGTTCATTATTTTGTCTTAACCATTCTGAAGCAGGTATTAATAAGTTATGAAACCATGTTGAAGATTCGTTCAAATTTAAATAAGCACCAACTGATCCAGAATATAGTTGCAAAGTTCAATAGTTATGTATAATTCCTATCAAGCCTTGTAGGTGTCGATAATATATATAACAATTTGTGCCAACAGCATGATCTAAAGAACAGTTCATGTGGATAGAAGAAAGATATCTTTGATGCATCATTGGAATATCTTCTATTGCGGAGGAAATTGGAGTTAGAATAGGGTGATAACGGTGTGTATTTTGGTTCTTGCATCTATTATATACAGCAACTTGTTCAACATTTGCTTATTTATTCATATATATACTGGGATATCGAAAGCACTGGTTAAATGATAAATTTTATCAAGATCATAAGGGATCTATTTTATGGAAGATTTTAACATTAACATTGAACAATAGGCACAAGGGATACACAGATAATCATACAATATTTTTGTTTGAAATTCATTTAAAAGGCATCGAAGATTAGCTCATTGAGAGATAAGAATATAATTGAGTAGATGATAGAAGTCAGATTCAACCTGTAGACAATCATTATCAGAAACAGGCACATTTGGTAAATTTTGGTTTATTTCATTTCTGAATATATAGGGATCAAATGAATAATCATTTTGTGAAATTTAGACATATTCTGAATCATATTGTATAGTGAGTTGAAAGGTAAAAAGTGGAAAAGTTTGAACCTGATAATTGGACTTTTTTTTTCAAATATCGATTTAGAGTGATTAATTATTGAAGTTTTGAGAGTTTAATGATTTGGAATAATTAATTAATAAAATTTGAGTATTTAACAACATATTTATACAAAATTTTTTATGATAAATTGAATTTATTTTTGTTCTTAAAATCCAACAACATAAATATTCGAATATTTAGTTACATTAACTAATCAGTTTATTTATATATTAAATCATAATAACAGATTAATCAATATTTAAATTTATAAGCAGTGATGCGTGAATTGGAATTTTAAAAAATAGAATAACTAATCAAATAAATATGAATATTACTAATTTTATTTATTTATTCTATTGATTTTATTAAAATTATTTTAAGTAACAATATAGTAATAAAATTAGATAAAATTTAATCTGAATCTATATCGTGACTAATAACCATATCATTAGAGTTTTCTTGTGTAGCAGGTTCACCGGTTTTAATTTGTAAGAGCGCATCGACGAAATCTGTGCTTGATGAATCATCTTTTGGAGGTTTTGGTTTTGGAGTATAATTATTTAATTTTCTTTTTTTTAAGAATTGAGCATCTATTTTAGCATACTTTTCTTCTATAAGGTCGAGTTGGTTATTCAAATCGTCACAGGGTTTTCTTTTCTCTTGTTAGAAGAGGATAAAGTTTGGGATTCACTAATATTACCGGCATAATTCTACTCAATATCTGATGCAATTATATGAGATATTTTTTTATGTGAACTGATCTTAAATCTTCTGATTACTGACATAACCATTTTTTTAGGTTTTCTTTGAGAGAATTATACTGACCATTCTGGTTCGTGTAAGATACGATAATGTTAGATTCAATATTCTTTTTACCAGTTACTCCATTATACAATCGCCTGGACAATATAAAGCTATATTTTCCAAGTTCATCATTGGATTGGTAAGAATTAGTAACAGCAGAGCAGAATAAATTATTAGGGGAAGAAATAAGAAAGGTCTTCAGATGTAATCGATATATTATCTGGAAAATATGAAATTGGGGTAGCTTGAATAAGGGTAACCTTAAGGGTTTTAAATTAAGATGGTTTAGCTTTTTAAGAATAACAATGTAAAATAAATGCAATTCTTTACTAGAGATCGGAATTATACTAATGTATTCGGCATTTTTATTATAAATATATTATCTAATCATTAGGACAATAGAGTTTTTTTTGAAATCATCGATTAATGTTTCAGAAGATCCAGTAAATCTTTTGTAAATAATTTTTCTAAAGGATTCTTTATTGTCTTTTATTTGATACAAGGTGCTTCCAGATATATATTTTTATTCCTCATAACAGTCTTAATGAAACAGAATGATATAAAGATGGATGACATGATTTTTAAGGCATTTGTAATGGACAAAAAGAAGTTCAGTAAAAAATGATGATAGCAATTTAGATAAGTAAATAGACAGTATTATTTTATAATTAGAAAGACACTAAATCAATCGTAAATCAAGCATCTTATTTATATTTTAAGAAGTATATAAAAGCGATAAGTAATTTATTTAGTGCACAAAATATATATTATATCAAGCAATAGCATTCAGGCATGTTATTTTTCATAGATACATTAATTACAATACGAAATCAATATATCTACGATTAAGTTAATAAGGTATACTAGAATATTATTGTATATACACTTTTTAACTTTTCGCAAATAGAATGATCAAGTTAAGAAAATAAATTAGTATAAGTTATAATATTATCAAAATTCATTTATTTATTTATTTACAAGAACGCTTTTACTAAATATGAATAATATTCAATTGGTTATTCAACACAGATATAAATATATTTCGCTCAATATTTAAATAAAATAAATAAATAAAATTTATTGATCAGATGTTTCTCACGATAGTAGTAATCACGAATAATAACATCATAAATTATAAATAATGATTTTTCTAAAATTAAAAATCACATGGTTAATTCAATTTTATTTCATACATATTTCATTTTATTCCATGCTTAGCAATTGAGGTCAACACAGCATATTAATATTAAATAATTTTAATATAATAAATATTTTTTTAAAAATATTTATATATGATATTTTCTAATTTCATCATACAATTAAATATTTTTTAAAAATAAGTAATGCAAAGTAAGTAAATACCTTATTCAGAATATAATACATGTAAATACAAGAAAATTTGCAAATATTTTTTATTATATACAGTACTATAATTAAAATTTTATATATATAGAAGAGCTGTTCTGAGCAAAGTTAAAACAAAGCGATTGATCAAGATCAAAAAAATCACAACACGTTGAGAGAACACATGATCAATAAAATAGATTCTAGAAAAAACCTAATAAAATGCAACCAAATCTGTGAAATATGAATTTTCTTTTTAAATCATTTTTTCACTTAAAAAGAGTAGCGATCATTTCCAAAAACACAACAATCAAATAAAATAAGAGATAGATTTTTGAAGCAATCCTATTAAGGGCTAATTATATATATATATATTAATAAATCTTTAATATTAAATAACTTTTGATCTACTAGTCTGATTTGGATAATTTAACTGTCAAAATATTTGTCTTGATAAAACGATTCTAATGAGTCTAAAATCGCTAAAATCTAATCACAGGATCCTGAGATCATTAAAGTTTTTTGTACTATTTTGTATATAATAAAATTAATTTTATTATATATGAAAGAGTACAAAAAACTTTAATGATCTCAGGATCTTGTGATTGGATTTTATCAATTTTGAACTCATTAGAATCGTCTCATTAAGATGAATATTTTGACAGTTAAATCATCCAAATCGGACTAGTAGATCAAAAGTTATTCAATTTTAAAAATATTAAAAAGATTTTTAATAATTAATTAAATTGGCCAATCAG